CCCCCCCCCCCCCACTTTTCTGTGTAACCTAAGACAGTGACCACAGCTAAAGGTAAGAACTTTGATAGTGATGCGCTCATGCTCTTGTTAATCTATAGAAAACTTTCAGGGATGTGGCTGTAGAATCTTGCTCTTCTGTTCAGCATTAAAGTGGCCCCAAGATGTGGGGTCGGGAAGGAATGTCTTTCCCCCAGGTGAAATTGGCAAGGCCTCTAAGGTTTTTGCTACCCTCTGGGAGTGTCTACATAAGACACTTACTGCACAGTTACTGCTCAGTAAACATCACCGTCTACATGTGAAGATCCTTACTGAGCAGTAATTTGCTCTACTTGGCAGTTAATTTGCTACCTGCAAGTGCAAATACAGGTAGCAAATTAACTGCCCATGTAGATGGCTAACTGGGAGCAAATTTGCTCCTGGTCAGCCATGTAGCAGGGGATAGGAGGTTGGTCTCTTCCTCTGGGAGCTGCCTGCTGCTGTGGTGGGCTCGACACTGGATCCTGGGCTGGGACAATCTCTCCTTGCCCCAGCAACAGGGAGCAATCATGGAGCTAGGGCCAGGAGTTTCCTGCATGGGAATGTTCCCAACCCAGCCAGGAGCTGGCTGCCCCAGACTGGGACAGTCCCTGGCCAGCCCCAGGTTGTGTAAGAAAGTCTCCACATGCAGCCCAGAGCTGGCTGGGAACTGCCTGAAATGGGACAGTTCCCAGCCAGCTCCAGGCTGCACGTGGAGACTTCCCCATGCAGCCCATGGCTGACTAGGAACTGTCCCAGTCTGGGGCAGGTCTCAGCCTCACAACTCTTTTCTAGCCCCGTGCTCCAATCAGGTGATTGAGGCATGGGGCTTGGAAGGAGCTTTGTGGGAGAGGCAGGTTCCAGCCCTCTGCCATGATCTGCCAGTGGGGCAGCTAGCAGAGACAGCCAGGAGACACCTGTTGCCTGGCCCCGTGCTCCCTGCCAGCCCCTGGGCTAGCACCCAGGAGGAGCATGGAGCTCCCTCTGGCTGCTTTAGGGGGTCAGAGCAGGGTGGGAGCAAATCTGCTCCCAAATGCCTGCTCATGCAGATGCCTGCCCAGAGTGGGTTTATTCCACGGTAAATTATTGTGGAGTAAACCCATCCAGCAGCATTTGCATATGTAGACATGCCCTCTTTTGCATGAGGCAGAGATTAACATATGCTCAGATCAGATACTCCTTACTGCTTCTCTGCCTTTACAGTGTAAGGGCATTGGTGGTCTTGTTTCCCCTGCATTTCATCTGTGGCATGCTGGAGGATGGTTTTTGTGAGGTGCTTTATGATTGTAGTATTCCAGAGGGGCTGGAATGGATGACTTTTAGGACTTTCTTTGGTCAAATCGTTGGCTACAGATGAAGGGAATTGGACCCCTTCCTATGTTCCTATTACAAAGAAAAGAGGAAGAGGGAACTCTAGATTCTGAAAGGAGTCTGAGAAAACCAGCCTCAATCCTATTTTATTTCAGTTCCTTATTTTGGAGAATTCAGATTTGAGCTCTGGCTTTCTTACATTACCTTACAGTTTTGATCCCAGAATGATGGAGGCACCAGTTGCGCAGGGAGATGAGTTTTCAGTGTTCGTGGAGAAGGCATCGCTTCTGCTAATTCTAGTCCTGTGAAACATTTTGCAGTAATTCACAAGTGAGCATGTAGCTAAGCTCCACTACTTCGTTACTATCATATGTAGGATTTTCTGACTTTTTGAGTAAACACCAGTAGGCATCAATTTGTACCTGTGCAATTATATCTCCTTGCTAAACTCAATGTTGAAAACACATTGTAAAAAATACTGTAACATAATAAACACTGTATAACAAAAGCTTGTATTTGCTCTCAGTGTCCTTGCTACTATCTTTACCTTTATTTTCATGGAGAAAGGATGAACAGTGATTCATATCTTTTTCCATCATGGGTAACTGGTGCCTCCTGACTCAGAGGGGGCACCAGCAGCTGATCGCCAACCTTGCTAAAGAAGTCTGGGCTAAGGACTCTTGTGCAGTGGGAGGCCTCATTGGAGGAAAGGGGCTTTGATTGGCTTGATAGGAAATGGTCCATAGATAATACATGTGCTCAGCCAGCCTGCTGTCCATCCAATAGGTCCAGCTGGTTGGCAGGGTTGTACCTCCTGAGTGAGAAGCTCCCTTCAGCTTACTACCCATTCTTTTACATAATTAGGTTTATCTATTTCAGCTGTTCTTTACTAGGTCTATAACTATAATTAACTTACCACCTGTCATTCACTTGCAATTGCTTAAAACTAGTGTGTGCATGTGTGTGTACACACACATTTGGTAAACATTATAGAGCCTTTCCACTTTTAAAGTATTTGGACTATGCAAATGTTACCTAATTCATTGTAGTTATATTTCTATTTTGAACTTGAGTGTTTCCCAGAATACACCTCCAAGACTGCGTATGTTGTTGCAACTCTTTGGTCAGTACTGACTGAATACATAGCTCCTAAGCCAATGAGGGCTGAGTATGACTGATCTAAAGGTTAAACTCAAGATAAAACATATAAAACCAACCAGATCAGCATCCAACTTTCAGGGATATGCAGAGCCCAACTCTCATACCCGAGTTATCATAATGAATTTTGTAGAGATCTTTCTGGATGGCAAGACAAATAGAACAGAAATTTCCTTTAAAATGGTGTAATCAGTAATTAATGTGTCTTTCATGGATCCCTTTATCAGTTATTTGGTAAACAAAATTTTGATATAACACTGTGTATAAAATCTAAAACTGTATGTAGCTAAACTCCACTACTTTGTTATTATCGTATGTAGGATTTTCTGACCTTTTGAGCAAACACCAGTAAGCATGGCCCTAACTTACCCAACTTACCAGAGGGAATAGGGCCAAAATATTCAGGCAGTGACCACTCAATGAAAGGGTGTCGTTTATAAGTGGTGTCACGTTTGCACTTCTCAAGGTCTCCATCTTGCTGAATCATATCCACAATTTCCTGTATCCATGTTGTACCTGAAAATATTAGAGCTTTATACTTGTCCCCAGTGCAGAATACATTTTTTTTTCTGAAATTGAAATGGAGTGCTTATTAAAGTACTGGAAAGATGGATCCTACTTTAGAGCAGGAAAGGAGATTACAAGCTCAGTACAGCCAGATGAGGATGGATTTAAGTTTTAGAAAGTAAATCAGGATGCTATGCCATGGTGAGAAGAGAAGGCTTGGTGCCCACCAAGGAAAAGCCCCAGGGATACCATTCAGAATAGTGTTTCTTCCTATTAAATGAAAAAAAAAATGCATTCATTTGGCCATGATTAATGGTATTATGTTATAGACAGTGAAGCAAAAAAGTTAGAAGTTCCATCTTCTAGGAAATATTTTGACATTTGTTTTCATCCTCAACTGGGGAAAAAGTTGAAATACCCAAATGCTCATGGAATGAAGAGTTCTGAAAACTTCCAGTTTGGAAATGTCAGAAAGTTTCAATATTTTTCATTGGAATAGCCTTGTTTGGAGGGTTGCTGGATATTAAATTGACTGCCCAACCTGCTAAAATACAGGAATGGGGGAATGAAAAACTGATGCCCATATTCCCTCTGTGAGCCATGCTTTTGACTTAATTACATCTCCTAGGATGTACTATGAGACTTCAACTAGAGGAGAGACTGTAATGCATTATGGAGAGGTGTAATGTGGCCATGGAGCCCAGTTCATACTGGAGAATGGGGCAATCAGTAGGGCTGTGCGAAGTTTTGGTCCCTGATTTGATACAGTGGAGATTCGGCCAGATTCGGTGGCTGAATCTCCAAATCCAAATCAAATCAGAGGACCCTTTAAATCTCTCCAAATCAAATTGGAACCCTCCAAATCGATTCCGAGAGATTTGGAAAGATTTGATGATTTGGACATAGACACAGCTTTAAATGTTTTTTCTACATACCTCAAGGTAGCAGGCAGATCAATGCTGTGATGCTGGGGCACATGGAGCGTCCCACAGAAGCATGGGGGGCCCCCCAGCATGCTCGGCAGCAGACCTGGAAGTGGATCAGAAGAACTTCCAGTCCACTTCTGGGTCCACCACAGAGTGTGGGGGGGGGGCCCTGCCTCCTGGGTCTCATGGTGGGGCACCTGGGGTCCCCCTGTGGCCAATCGCTGAGCCAGGGGGGTTGTGGGGGGCCTCCCGCATGCTCCGCAGAGGACTTCCAGGTTCACCACCAAGCTCGTGGAGGGCTCGCCCCTCCCCCCCCAACTCCTGTGGGATGCTTGATCTGCCCCAGCATTGCAGCATTCACGAGCCATGCTGGTACCTCAAGGTATGTAGAAAAAAAATTTAAAGCTGTATCTGTGTACAGATAGCTGATTCTCTGAGTCAGCATCAAATCTTCAGATTCAGATTCAGCTGAATTGAATCAGGGACAGCGATCTGAATCAACGAATTGAATCACTGTCCCTGATTCAGGCTGAATCCAAATCCAAATCGAATGGGCCCGCTTCACACACCCCTAGCAATTTGTAATTGAAAAGTAAGTGATTTCAAAGTATGTTATTTTAAAGCAAATGATTCTAACAAGGTTTGGTTAAATTATTACCATCAATGTGAAAGTTCTTGGTGTATTATTGAACACGCACAAACATAACCTGAATCAAAATAACTGTTACAGAAATTATATTGGACATTGACCATTCAGATTTTGGTAGTAGTTAGTTATTATTTTGTTTATTTCCACCAAGGAAGCCAAAGCCACTAAACTGTATCTTCAGATGGAGCTTTAAAGTGTAATCTGATGAAAGGTCCATTTTGGAAGTATGTGACTCTTAATCACAAACCTTAATAGAAGCAAGGGAAAACATGCATCAGTTCAAACAGTAGGCTGTGCCTCAAACCATTTACACTACTCCCTCTACACACACCTGCTTTTGCATATGTTGCAATGAGCAGATCATCAGGTCTAGCTCTGAAGTTCCAAATTTTATTCCAGTTAGCACGTATTGTTTCTATAAGGAAAACTCCCTCCACTTCATCTGGTTCACATCGTGTAAGCTCCAGGTTCAGCTCTTTCATTTGATCCAGGTCCATAGTATACTGCAGAAGAAATGGGTAGGCAATACACTGGTCACTTTACAGAACTGCTGTTCTAGTCTCAGCAAGATTCTTCTTTAGTGTATTCACTGTGACCTAAAATTCAGAAGCATAATGAGGCCAGAGTGACTGGGGCAACAGCCTCAGGTGCCCATTTGTGGGGAAGGGAGGCAAAAAAATAGCTTCTGTTGCATCCCCACACACTGCAGCAGCCCAAAGTCACTGCTGTCTCTGTGAATCGCAGCTTCCCCAGGTGCCTGACTGACTGGTACACCTCTGTCAGAAATGTCCAACATTTTTAGTTGCTTTCCAAAAGTTATATGTAAAGACACGTCTAAATCCATATTTAGTAAACTGCTGTACCTGCATTCTCTGCTGGAGCTCCGGCAAGGGAGCAGAGGGGAGGGGCCTGCCCTGCTGTGGAGCAGAGAGCCTCACACAGCCCAGAAAGCATGCTGGGATGCTGGGGGAGTCTGGTTTATCTTAAACCAGCAAGGAGTCTGGGACAAACATTGCATAAACCGGTTTGAGCCAAATCAGTAAAGTCTGATATTACATTCAACCAGGTTTATCTCAAACTGGTTTCAGCCATTTTCAAACTGGTTTATGTGTACTGAACCTCTGTTCTGTTACAGGTTTAAACCAGTTTCTGATCACTTAAACTGGTTTATGTGTAATGTCTGTCCCCAGCCATTAGGCCTCGGGAAACTATTTCAGTCTGCTGTAGGTTAGTACTGGTAAATATAAGTACTATCCTATGGCGGAGTTCTCTAGTGCACAGCAACGTACATGTAGACACTGATGGGGCTGGCTGGGGCATGAAGGTGCTGCACTTCATTCACTCCCTGACAGCTATCCCTGCACTGGAGCACCCTTGTGTCCCAGCCAGCCCCTCTGCAGCACACTGAGCCTTATTGGAGCATTCCCAGGCTGGCAGGCTGACCTGCTGGGCTTCCTGCTACCTGGGGCTTCTCCAACCTGGCTCAGCATGATGTGGTCCTGGGTGCCCGTGCAAGCAATGCATCCAGGATGAGTAAACTCTGGAACAGTATGCGCTTGAGTTTATTGCTTTGTGTTAATAGCACATGTAGATGTACCCATTGAATGCGTGGCAGCTCCTGCTTGCTTTCGTGACAGTTGTGGGTTGTCATGCTGTTTACTAAGGTACCAAAGGAAAAATTAAACACCTACTTTTAGGTACTTAAATTTGCACTTTTTTGCTCATTTATATTACTGACCATAATTGAGTCAGGCACAGACAAGTTGCAAACATCCCATGCTTTCCACCACAGTCAACTGAAGGCACCTCATACAATCAAGTAATTCTTTACTAACTAAAACAGAAGAAAAGGCGTAGCCTACAAATAGATGTTGCATTTGTCCTGAGACCAGCTGTGCCTTTATTCTGTCCTGGAACAGCAAACTTGTCCTGTAGGATTTGTGTATACACGCATTACCTTTTCAATCACAGCCTAGTGAGTGGTTGAATGCACTGCTGCTTTTCAATGACACAAGCCCAGGACAACTGTTTAGAACAGGGGGAGATGTCCAATGAGTATGGATGTGTGGTATGTGGTGCTGCAGACCATCTGTGGTGCCACATACCTCACACATCACACATGCAGGTTTTCCCTGTGCTGCTATTTTGCAGCACGGAGGGGGTGGGGTTGACTCTGAGAGATCCCAGGGTGGATTGTGCAAGGGGTGGATTGTGATGGCCAAAACCAAAGAAATTAATAAGCAATAAATATGTGCTTCTTAGAAGCATTTAGAACTTTTGTCTAATATAAAGCTTGTATTTTTATAACCTGTAAATGTAACTTATAACTATTTGTAAAACTAACTAAACCTCAAAAACAAAGCTATAGCTATAAAATTGACTAACCTAATAGTTCTTTCTTGCTCAAAATTTAGCCTTAATAATAATAAAAACTGAATTCAACTGGCTAGCTTATCCAGCACATTCCAGGAAAGAACATCTCAAAAAAGCATAGTCAGAAAGTTCTGAAAAGGCTGGATTTAGGCGAGGTAATGTTAATTTCAAATCTAAAAATACTATATTACAATGTACTTATTAAATAAACCCAAATCTAAATAATAACCTTTTATAATAATTGTAACACCTTTTAATCCCAAAAGTAATAGCTATAAAACACAATTATGAATAACCCTAAAACCAACAAATTAATATAAAACTAAGTATGAAAAACATGTGCATCAAGTAACCAACAGGAAGGAGGGAACAAAACAAAAATTGCTATTCCAAGCCCGGACTCCAAACTCCCAGTGTGAGTGAAAATCAAATCCTAATCAAAAAACCTTCCCCAGTAATCCTTCGGACAGCGTCAATCAGAGACACCTAACTTCACTAAAATCATCTAGCATTAAAAAAATGCCAATAAGTTGCCAACCCATATCTATTTATTATTTTAAACAACCCAAGAGCTAATATTCTCTCGGTGCCTAGCTAGCCTGCAACAAATTAATCTATCTGTTATTATTATTTACTATTAACTTTTTAATATTACATTATCTACTTATTACATTTATCTTTCTATTAACTACTATATATGTGTAAACTATAATAAATTTACCATTATTTTACTCCCAATTCTACCTCCTCAATCCCAAACCAAACAATGAAGTAGTTAAATTAATATACTCACAGTGCCCAACTGGCCTCTGACACCTGCTGCAGGGTCACCGTAGCTGTTCCATGGACATCCTGCCTGCCCACTCCATCTGGTGCTCCTGGAGGTGGGTGCACGGTGGACAGACCCGGGCTGGATAGGATCAATTGCCCCTTCCCACCACTGCTGTGCTGGGCTGGGTCAGCACCCCACACTGGTGTCAGAACCCCTGCCCCGCCCTGCGCCAGGCTTGGTCAGCAGCTCTGCCCTGCCTACCTGCAAAAGCTCACCAAACCTCCTTAAGTGGCTCTCCAGCCCAAATAATTGCCCACCCCTGGTTTAGACGCACTTTGAAATGTCCTGGGACCAATGGTTAGTACTTCTCATCCTGCAAACCTTTCTAGGGCTTGTCCTAGGATAATGGATGTGGACAGCTGAATGATCCCACTTGGTCACAGGAGAAAATGCAACATCTGTTTGTGGCCTTAGTAACATATCTATGCCATTGCAAAACTAATCCCTGTGCCTCTCTTGTTTATCTTCCAGTTTTGGACTTTTATGGAATACTCTTGCATTATACATCTCTCTGTATCACACACACTCATTTTTGCCACCTTTATTAGTTATTTTTGAGTGTTAGTGATAAATTTGGGTAATTTTGATAAAACCAAAGTGCCTGCTTGTTACACTTCTCACATACACCCGCATGGTTAAAAATAGCATATTGACTATAATCCCATACTCACAAAACAGACTGTAGAGGTGTTTTCTTGATGTCCTTCCTTCTCTTCAGGTCTAGTTTCTTTGCTTTTTATAGGGTACTGTGGTGTTAGTAAAGTTGCTGGACTCTGAGCTACAAAGCTGTGGTTGAAACCAGATAATTTTTCATATGCTGAAGAACTCCTTTCTCTGGTTTACAGGATGCAACTGCAAAGAGTGTGCTGTTTTAAATCTTATATCTGCCTTGATATACATGCTGTAGTCACAGAAGTGCTATGAGAAACTGAGCAGAGTTTAAAAGTCCTATATGAACACAGGGACAATGAGATAACAGAAGCATAGCAGCAACCAATGGATAGCGAGTTTCTCTAACTTGCACAATACACTCCTTTTTTAAATCCCCTGAGGGAAGTTTTTAAAATTATACTGTACTCTATCATTTATATTTTTTAAAACTATACTGGTGCAATATAGAACAGCTTATATCTTGCCCTTTAGTCAATTTGGAGAAGGAAAACTAACTTTTGTTGATCATTAACTTTTACTTACCTTCAGTCTCTATTCATTTCCACTTTCTGGTTGTTATTCACTAGCATGATGCTGCAATATATTGATCTCAACAAAGTTATGTTTATATGAAAGGGGAATGTTTAAATCCCCTTTTCTCTTCAACATCTGTATAAGACACTGTGAGAGACAGATGCCACAAGTTTAGCAGGCAACTCTATGGCAGTGATTCTCAGCTCTCATTCTTACCTCTTGCAACCACTAAGAAATCAGAAAGTCTACAAACTAGGCTTGCTTGGATGAACAGCATGTGTATCAAGCTGAACCCAAACAAAACTAAAGTGATGCTGGCCAGGTAGAGGAAAAGCTTTGAGAAAACTTCCTTAGACAACGTCTTCACCTTCTAAAGGCATGTATGCCCCAATTGTAAATCCTCTTTAACTCCTCACAAAGCTCAGAGGACTGGATAGCATTGGCATTGGAAAATGCCTTCTTTCATTCCTGTCTTATTAAGAAACGTCATTCTTTTTTCTCAGGAGGGGACTTGGCCACAGTAATCAATGTATTATTCATCTCCAGGCTGGATTACTGTAATTTACTGTGTCTGAAGCTGAAGGTGGAGACAGTGCATGGGCTCCTACTGATGCAGAAGGTGACTACTGTACTTGCTTTCTCCATGACGTAGGATGTCAGGGTCATGTTCTACTCCCTCTGCTGGCTACCAGTCACTGTCTCATGCCAGTTAAAGGCTTTGGACCTGACTTGCAAAGGTTCAAACTCCTGCTACATCACAGGCCAGCTTTTTGTGTATGACCCACCATGGGCAGGTATGCTCCTCTTGGGCAATGGTGATCACAAAGTGGAATCTAGGGCATATCTTCACTGTGGTGATGACATGGCCTGGCCAGGGCATCCTCAAGCTTGCCTTGTTCACCTGCTCCCAAAGACACATTCCAAACTCAGAAACATGCAAGTGGGGCCAGTGCTCAAGCAAGCCATAGACAGAGGTCCTTCCAGCATAATTCTAGGTTGGTAACATGTCAGCAGGAGTAGGGAGGTAAGGTGGGCTTGCAAAAGCCCCGGCCAATACATGCTGCTGCTGTGATACAGACATGCTTGAAGTGAGTGAAAACTATGATCTCTGATCTTGTCTTCAGAACCTGTTGACTTCTAAAAGAGGAAAACTCAGAGTCTGCCTGGCAAGCCACCTTCTTTTTAAAGGCCTTCTACGAAAAGAAATGGCACAACCATTCCATAAACCCCAAACCTAAAAATCAAAGGCACCCCACTACTAGCAGACTTTTTTTTTTTTTGCTAGAAAAGAAAAAGTTTTCTCCATGAAATTAACAAGAAACTTTGTTATTACTGGTGATTTTGCATTAAGGTGTCCAGATACCACAGCAGTGGGCAGCTTCATGAAAACCCTAAACTAAACTAGTAGGTGGGAATCTGGGGAATCATGGTGGAAGTACAGGATAATGACTGGACAGAACAAGCTACTGAGACAGTGGCAAGAAAGCAAAGGGAGAAAACAGAGAAGGTGAAGGCAGACAGAGGGCTGAGATGAACAGGAGGGTGGCAGATTAGAAACAAGGAACAAACCAAAAAGTAAAACACTTAAAGAAATGTTGGCTTTTAAGCTAAGTCCTTGATAATTCTGGATCTGACTCAACAGGAATACTGGAACATGTTGTTCAAAAGAGAACAAGCAAAGAATATAAGATGATCAAACTATAATATTTTTCTTTTAGCTTTCTTTCTTCTGACTTATGTAGTGAATGTAAAAAAAAAACTAAGCAAAATTACTACATAAGCCTTAACTTTCAGGTTGGGTATAATCAGGGGGTCTTTGTTTGGGGCAGTGTACCTTGGATTTTGTTTTCATTCACACACCTGGCAGTTTGTTTTCTGGCTTTAACAGAAATCTACACCCATTCTAGTTATACAAGTACCAATAGATTGCATTAATCTCTAAGGTAAATTAGCTAAGAAGTATGTAAGCAAAGAAAAACCATAGAGCTGTTTCCTGTTTGCTAACCTGAGTAGCCTGTGAACAGAAATGTAGACCAGGTGTCCCAGAATGAAGTCAGAAAAACCTCGCTTGTCATTTTAACCCTGCTTTCCATTTATATGTTGGACAGGGGATCTCTCAAATGCCTGTGCTTTCTGGACTGCCATTGCAATCTATTGTGCCACATTAAAAGCACACATGAAAGTGGACATACCATCCTCCCAACCAGGGCGGATAATTAACTCCAAGTTCCCAGCTATCCATCTCCTTGCTGCGTACCTACTGTGGGCCTTTTCCCACGTGAGCTGTTTTGTCAGTCGAAAGGAAGACAGTGGAGAATCTGATACTGAGCTGCACAGGGAAGCACTCGTAGGTATTTGGCAGCATATAGAACTGGGGCAGTCACTGTTAATGACTTGTGAATCTGTTCAGCAAAGGAAATACAAGGGAACATTACCTTTATTCTCATCTTCCTTTTTTAGATCTTCCTGCAGTAAGTTCCCTCTTAACACCTTCCTGAAGCCTATGAGTCTCTTTTTATGCCAGGGTGAGATTGTCCTCCTGGCTGTGAACAGATCTTAACAAATTGAAAAGCAGAGAGAAAAAGGAATATTGTCTTACTGGTAAGTTCATTCTTAGAACAACTCCTCCAGCAGATCAGAATGCTCCTGGCTTTGCTCAACTACGCCTCCTTCCAGTTAGCTTGAAAAGCCAGTTTCCCTTTGACACACCATGGCTGGAGGTATTCTTGCAAAAATATGACACTTCCCCTCTTTTTCTATATGTTTTAGTGACCTGCATGCCAGAGTTCCAATTTTCCTGTGTTTTTTTCCTTTATCTAGAATGGAAAAATACAGGTGTATAGAGAAGATCTCTGGTGGATCCAAGTGCAGTTAAGATTACTGTGAGTTTCTTTCTACCTTCACCACTTTCCATATCTGCAATTCCTGCTACTTTGTGGATATTCTAGAGGTCAGAGCCATGAGCAGGGCTATTAAGAGCCTGTTTGTTAGAGAACTTAAGTGAAGTTAAGACAAGACAAACAGCACCAAAAAGGCTGTAAATATTTGGGGGAGAGAAAGGGAGTGAAAGGGTGGGGATGCTTCTGTTCTGTCAGCTGCCATACTTCTAAAGTGAAAATTATGCTCCTCTTTCCTGTGTTGTTCTTCTTAGATCTAGCTCTTTGCATCCTGGTCTTTTATTTTAATTAAATATATTGATTTTTAATTTTTTAACTTGACAGGCTGCAATAAGGAATATTTATGAACTGACATATATATTCTGAATACCATATTTAGCTTTTTATTTTGCTAAATTACTGGTATCACTGACTGACCTGTGCATTTCCTTTTATGTAGGTCTACAAGTAATAATTGTACTAATATATTTTTGGGCAGGATTCCATTTTATTAATTAAAAGGAAACCTTGATGTTTGGCTGTTAGACCTCATTATTCTCAGTCTCTTACTGAGAGTTGTAGGGACCAGAGGGAGAAATGTACTGTGCAAGAAGGGATATAGATAGCTACAATCAAAGTAAAAAAACTCTTTCTTGCTATTATACTAAGTCCTTCTTTAGAAACAGATTATATAAATGTTCCTTGACCAAGACTGGTAGTTCAGTTACATCAATGAAAATGGAAAATAGTTAACTGACATGCTTGCAATTAATAGGGGATTTCATTGCATTTGAATTTCTTATTTTTCTTGACATAAGCATCTCTAGGAGTAAATTCAGAAAAATGTAGAGTCACTGTAGGAATATGAAGGCAAGTTATTAAAAAAATGCTTGTTTTCATTTATACAGGAGCAAAACTGATGGAGAATCCAGGTAGTAAATCTTATGTCATTCTTATATTTGTATGGAAATTAGTTATCTAATTTTCATAAAATTATGCTTACCTATACATCTTTGTCTGGGCTAAAGAACTACAGTTGGTTTAAAATCTGTAGGCAATATATTAAAATATTAAAATGAAATTTTCAGGCATAACACTTAATGTTTATATTAAATTTATGTAAAGCCAAGGTCTTAGTCTGGTAAAGAGATCATAATCTTTATATTCTGAAGTACATTAGCAAGGTATATGCAATTAAGCTTTGAAATGTAAAACTGACTACTTAAATGCAAATTCTGGTAAGCTTATATTGTAAATCCTTTCTTTCTAGAGCATGTGGATAGCTGTATTTTAAACACTTCCTTGTCTTTGTGATCCAGAAACATATGGACTCTGAGGACACAGTACATAAGTGCAGTAAAATATGATCATGACTCAGTCATGAGACTTGAATGACCTGAAACTTTAGAAGGAATTGTACAAAAATGGAAAGGAGGTCAAATTGCTAAGCATGAGTGTAAGAGAAGAGTACAAGCATGTCAAAATCAGAAAGGCTGAGGCATATAAGGAGGTACAACCAGCAAAGGACTTGAAAGGTAACAACACACATTCTGAAAGTAAATCAGTAGTAGAAGAAAACTAAGGAAAGAGTTGATCTACTGCTTAAATGAGGGGGCAAGCTAATAACAGACGATACCAAAAGATTCACGTGTGGAATGCCTTTTTTTTGCTGAAGTCTTCGTTTAGTCTTTACTTAAAACAGTAAGAATGAGCAGATGCCAACACAATTAGTAAGGTGATAACAGGGAAAGAATAGGTACGTTTTCAAATTGGCTAAGCCTAAATAAATCCCTTCCATCTCTGCTTTTCTATGAATCTATAATTGTGTAACATTCATCTTAGAATACTCAAGGAATACTCTGAAGCAATCTCAGAGCTCCTAGCAGTTGTCTTTGAGAATTCATGGAGGAAAAAAGCAAACATAGGCCCAGATCCTATTGTGCATCCAAGGGCTTATCTATACTGTGATAGCAGCATATCCAGGGAAGAAAAGGGCTGAGCATGATTCACCCCATTCAAAACCATTGACTCACTGTAGAACTGGACATTTTTACTGCTGGGGCTTCTGTTAGCCAGAAGTCAAGAGTTTGAGAAGAGGCACTAGGAAAGCGCTTGGAGCAACCTCCCTAGTAGACTACTGGCTCTGGAGTGTTCAGTTCCATCTTTTCTGGGGTCAGCTGCTGATTTGGTACAGAAAAGCCCTAGGAAAACTCAGATTCGGCTCCTGCTAAGCTCAAAATAACAGATCTGGGCTCAGGGTGTGATCTGATAACACTCAGGAAGACGCATATTTTTCCCATTCACTGAAGAAGGTGCTCCAAACTGTGAATTAGCACAGGCTGTGCACAGTCTGAAGATACAGGCAGCATCTTGGGATACATCCTTAGGAATGACATACTCCTGGCCCGTCATGCACTGGGTTAAAGGAAGAAGGCAAACAATGTTCCCTTTTTAGAAGCAGCTTTAGAACATGAAAGGGCTTTCCTTTGCATAAAGCACAAGGACAGGAAGCCCTCCAAGCACTTTCCTCACCACCTCTGAAAACATGACTGAGTGCTCTACAGCAACTGATGACAGGCACTCAGCCACAACCTGGGTGGGAACTTGGAAGACTTATTTGCACTGACCAAAAGCACTCATTGCTATGACAATAGAGGCTGGGGTACACCCAGTCCATTGGGAAAGCGTAACCCTGCGGGGGATGGCAGATCCATTACTGTAATATTGCAAGACTCTGCTTCATCCCAGCATGCTATGAGACCCAGCCAGAGGATGTTCTCCCAGAGGTGCCCCTTAATCACATCATACATAACATCAAAGATGCCCAGTATCACACAACTGACAACTGACCATGGCTCTATGCTGTAAAGCTATCCAAGAGTCTAGGGGCTCAGTGCCTCTTTAGAGAATGGAAAAGGAGAGTTTTTGTCTACAGGAGAGAATCTGGCTTGCAGTTTCACTGAAGCTGGTGTAGCACTTGCAGGACATGCTACTGGAAATATATGTGGTTCTTTCAGAACATTGTTGGAAGTGGGTGATAGCTACTCTATAAAGATTTCTGCAGTGAGGCACAGACTACTACAGCCAAGCACAGTAGTCCTGAGAACCAGGACTTCAAAATCCACTATCCAGTTAATCCACTCCCTCCCAACTTGATCCTTCCTGCACCTTGCCTTCCATGGCTCAAAAGAGGGTTACTGAAGTCACTTCCTTGCCTGCCTCCTTGTGTCGGCCATTGCAGGCACATGGGCAGCCTGCCTCAAAGAGGCACCCCAAAAGCTGGTGCACATAGTGCTGCATGGAGGCATGCACAAGTCCCATGTTACAGACTGCACCCCAGCTGCAAAGACTCTGGGAGCCACTGAACCTCACAGGTGGGTTTGAGTGTCCCTTGGGACTGGTGAGGGAAGGAGGTCACATGCTCAGAGCCACAAATTCCAAATAGGGAATAAGAGGGTAGGCAGCAGTTCTGCAGAAAAGGTCATAGTAGATCACAGACTGAACTTCAGTTCATGTCATACTGCTGTAAAAATAGCAAGCATCATTGTGGGATGTATAAACAGAAGTAACATATGTAAGATATGTGAAGTCATCCTTCCATTCTACTCAGCACTGGCTGAGACTTAGCTGTTTAGTTCTGGGTACCACAATTCAAGAAAAACCTGAACCAAATTTGAAGCTCTCAGGAGTAGAGAGAAAAAATGATCAGACATCAGGAGAACAGTTTAGGACAGAGGCAGGCAGCCTTTAGCAATGAACTATATGGCTCTGGTCCTATGTGGCCCAGATGGCTTTAGCAGTGTGTCAGCGGCAGGGGACTTTCTCTGTGCTTATGCTGGGACCAGGCAACTGGGAGCTGTACCCACACTGCCACCAGTTCTCTCAGCCCCCTGTTCCCTGGCTGTAGTGTAAGAGTACCCTCTAGGGCTGGGTAGCTGCAAACTGTGTCTGCACTCTTTCCATTTCTCCCTACTTCCCTTGTAGACCTCCTCCCACCTCCTACCTGCAGCACAGGTGCAGCTTCAAGCTGCCCATCCCCAGCACAACTCCTCCCCTGCTAGAAGCTGAGCCTACTGGGCAGCCGAGGAGGGTGAGGACAAGCAGCAGCAGTGTGGCTACAGCTGGAAGCTGCCCGGCTCCAGCACAGCTTCTTGCTGCCTGGTTGCAGTGCAGGCATGGGTGTAGGCACAGGCAAAGCCCTCTAGCTGGATCCAGTGCTCTGTAGGCCAGATATGGCCCACAGGCTGTATGTGACCAACTTATGATCCAGGAGGAAAGACTGAAAGAACTTTGCTTAGTCTACAGAAGAAAAGTCTGAGGAGAGACAAGATAACAGTCTTCAAGTATGGAAAAGTCTGTTACAAAGCAGATGCTATAAATTGTACTCAAGGTTCACTTGAGATAGAAAAAGAAGAGGCTTAAAATGCAACAAGAGAGATTTAGTTACAACCTCTGGAACAGAACATCTAGGGAAGATATAGAATCTTCATTACCAAGGGTTTTGAAAAATAGGTTAGACGAACGTGAGTCAAGAATCCTGTCTCCAGGCAGGATAGAGTAAATTACTTCTTGAGATTTCTTCTACCTTTATTTTTTTATGATAATATGCAGATTTAGATTTCATTTTCAAACTAGAGTATCCAAGGTTAGGCTTCTAAATTCATTTTCAGGTTCCTAAGTAAAAGTGTCTTCCTTTGACTCTGAATTAAAAAGCAATGGACCTCTGAGATGAAATGAAGCACAGGGGAGCTAACCAACAATACTTTTTAACAACAATTTTGAAAACATATTTTCCAGTTTGTTATTAAAATTTTGTTCCTTGGAAACTTCCTGGCCATCTGGAAGAGTTCTTTTTATATTTTCCTCTTCTAATGAACCTGTAAAGGCATGCATGATTTGCCCTAACTAAAACCCTTCAAATAGAAAGAAAATGGCTCAGTGACAGAGGTACTAGCCTAGAACCTGGGATACTTGGGTTCACTTCCCTATCCTGCCACTGACAGTCT